AGGCACCTGCTTCTCTGAAGAAACAGGCCTGAAGCAGCAGTTTCTCGCAGTTCTGGAGCTGCAGCAATCTCGCAAGACAAGCAATCTCAAACGAGATCTGCTTCTCTAGAGCCTCGGAGCTCGAAAAGTATTCTCTGCAAGTAAAATTTCGGATTCCTGGCCGGCCAAATATTACTGTTGTCACCCCATTACTATTTTCACCGGACCCCCCTATATGGACTTGTTTACACACATCGGCCCGAAAACCTCCCGTAATGGAAAGTAGTCTTCGGCTGAGCCCCTCTGGCCCGACGAATATTACAGTTGCCACCCCATTTATAGATGTGAGGTTAACATTAGGGTTAGGGTTATAGGGTTCAGATGCTTGGGGTGTTGGGCGGTCTCAAGCCTCGGTTGTGATGGTTCAGCATATTCTTGACACGACCCAGGAGCAACCTGGGAATAACAATGGGCACCCTTTTGGGGTTTAAAGGGGCTTATACGAGAGCCTAAACCCAAAACAAAAGAGGAATAATACCAGGGTCGGAATAGTTACTAGTAGTATTCCCTTGTGGTCCCTACAGAATTATACTCAACCACCCCCCCCCCTCCAAAAAAAGAGTCTAATTGTTAAGGCCCTTACATTGCTGGTCTACTCTGGGTCCTTGTTGACGCTTCTACTTGGAGGTTCAGGGAACTTACTAACCCAATCATAGCTGCACTTATAACCCAATTATAGCCCTATTAGGGTACTTAAGGGGCTTATAAGCAGGCTATAACTACACTTCTACGTACTAGGGGTAACCTGAACCTCCAAGTAGGGATGGAGGCCAGCCAAGCGCTTGCGGGCATCCGCATTCGTCCGCATTGAGCCCCGGACGCCAAGCGGTCATTGGTATGTCCCTGCCGGGGGCGGAGGCATAAGAATCGAATGGTTTAGGGTTTAGGGTTTAGGGTGTAGGGTTTAGAGTTTAGGGTTTAGGGTTCAGGGTTTAGGGTTTAGGGTTTAGGATGTAGGGTTTTGGGGCGCATTCGAGGACACGGTGAAAAGAATGAAAGGGTTTATGGATGAGGGTTCAGGGTGGGTTGAGGTTCAGAAGGGCGAGCTTTCAGGGGGTTAGAAGGCTTAATTGAGGGTTTGAGAGGTTTACGACTTTGAGAGGTTCATGAGGAGGGTCTCGGTTCCTCAAAACCCACCCTCCTCCCCCCCCAACCCCAGCAAAGGGCTTAGAGCTTGGAAGTTTTTAGGGATTCAGAGGTTTAGGGTAGGGCGTTTAGGAGATTGGGTGTTAGGCTTGGGATTTATGGTTGACGGGTTTAGGGTTGTTAGGGCTTTGGGGTTTTGGAGATACAGGGAACAGGGGTTGCGGCTTCGTGTTCAACGGCTGCTATTAGCTTAAGAACCTCCCAAAAAAGAAAAAACATCTAATCCCCTTATTGCCCTCATGGGGAAGAGTATTCTTCCTCTTTGAGTGTTCTTAAGCAAACAGTAGGGGGTTAGGCAAGGGTCGAGCGCTAAAACCCTAAACCCTAAACCCTAAACTTAAGCCCTAAACCCTAAACCCTAATTAAACCCTAAACCCTAAACCCTAAACCCGAAACCCTAAACCCTAAACCCTAAACCTTGCTTCGTGGTTGAGTGAACAACCGAGGCCCGGGCGCTGTAGGCATCTATCTTCAGGCACCTGAGGCCGCGTGAGCCCTAAACTTTACTAACCCGAAACCCTAAACCCTAAACCCTAAACCCTACACCCCCTAAACCCTAAACCCTAAACCCTAAACCCTAACTCCCAAGTTCAGGACTATCTCCATCATTTGACACCTCCCTGGGTCCAACACACTTCAAGCCTAAGCCACACAGACCACTGGAATTTCGAGCATAGCGGGCTGATGGCCGGGCTTGGGTTTAGGGTTCACAGGGTTTATGGGGTTTATAGGGTTTATAGGGGTATAGCGTCGAACTCCGTGTCAGAACTCCCTAAAGCCTAAAGCCTAAGCCCTCAGCCCCCAAAGCCGGTCAAGAAACATGCAGCCCATCCAAACACTAAACCCTGCACCCTAAACCCTAAACCCTGGGCTCATAAGGCTTGTACCCCCCAACTAAAACGACACCTGGCGTGGGTTGGGGCCGGGGTTTAGGGTTTAGGGTTTAGGGTTTAGGGTTTAGGGATTGAAGGGCCTAGAAGCATTTAGGGCTTGGAGGGTTGGGCTGTCATCGCTGAGCCTCTGACACTTGCGGAAATTGCTGGAGGGCGGCGGCCAGGCGCTTGATCATCGACTCGCCTGCGCCCTAAACCCTAAACCCTAAACCCTAAACCCTAAACCCTAAACCCTAAACCCTAAACCCTAAACCCTAAACCCTAAACCCTAAACCCTAAACCCTAAACCCTAAACCCTAAACCCTAAACCCTAAACCCTAACCCTGAACCCTGAACCCTAAACCCTAAACGAGGACAATTTCCGAAAGTTCCCTCAACCCCGAGCCCTGAAACTCCAAGACCCTGGGCATTTCATGCTTACAGGGTGCGGGGCGCAAAAGGCACCCTAAACCCTAAACCCTAAACCCTAAACCCTAAACCCTAAACCCTAAACCCTAAACCCTAAACCCTAAACCCTAAACCCTAAACCCTAAACCCTAAACCCTAAACCCTAAACCCTAAACTCATCTCAACTCCGGGGTAGAGTTCAAGCAAGTTTTTTGGGGTTTAGGCCTTTTGACTCTATAGGAGCTTCGCCCTACACCCTAAAACCGTAATCACAACCTTCAGGCCATTTCATGGTTTAGGGGGGTTGGTAAACTTAAGAGGCTGAAGACCCCGAAACCTTCAACCCTAAGCCCTAGACGCGAAGAGCTGTATAAGTCTAGGGTTCAGGGTTCAGGGTTTAGGGCTTAGGGCTTAGGGGTTAGGGTTTGGGGTTTAGGGTTGATTAATGGGGGTCTGATACCGTGGCTTCTCAACCCTGGTAAGATCCCTACGCTCCCGAAAGCCCCGAAAACTCCCTATATTTCCACTCGAATCCTCAAGCCCTTAGCCCTAAAACCCCAAATTGTCCCAATTCCCGCCCTAAACCCTAAACCCTAAACCCTAAACCCTAAACCCTAAACCCTAAACCCTAAACCCTAAACCCTAAACCCTAAACCCTAAACCCTAAACCCTAAACCCTAAGCCCTAAGCCCTAAGCCCTAAACCCTAAACCCTAAACCCTAAACCCTAAACCCTAACCCTAAACCCTAAACCGTTGGCCATATAGCGCCTTCGGTCGCTAGACTGGCCGTCCCTGGGCTGAAGGAGATCGACTGTTGGAGCAGCTGGTCAATGGCCGCCTGGGGTTTAGGGTTTGGGGTTTGGGGTTTGGGGTTTAGGGTTGTAGGTTTGGGAATGTCAGGGTTTGGGGACCTGGGTTTAGGGCTTGGTGTTTAGGATGTCCGCTGTTTAGGAGGTCCCCTGAACTCGGAATAATTACGAGTAGTACTCCCTTATTCGTCCCCATACTATCATACAAAAAACAACTTCAAAAACACTCCTCTAATTCTTAAGGCCCCTATATCCCAAGGTTTTAGTGTATGATTTGGGGGTTTACGATAATGGGGGGCCCCTAGTGTAGACCTACAGATCGTAGGATTCCCTTATAATAAGGACCCCAATAGGGTACCCCTATTTTCGTAGAGCCTTATTTTGGGTTTAGGGCTTGAGGGCCCACATTCATCTCTGGGTGTTAAGCTGCCATGCCTTCGTCATCCCCAGAATACCTCCATCCATCAAAAGCCATTAGGGTGGGGTTTAGGGTTTAGGGTTTAGGGCTTCGGGTTCAAGGTTTAGGGCAATTCAAAATCCCGAAATTCTGAACCCTGCTCAACCCCAAATCCTTAAAACCCCAAACCCTAAAACCCTGAAACCCTAAACCCTAAAACCCTGAATCCCGAAAAACCTGAAAACCCTCGAGCCCCAAATCCCGTCTAAGCCCGATCTGGAGCTCTGCAGCCTGTAGCGTCTTAGGGTGTCGGGGTCCGAAACCCTACGCTTGTAGGAAGAAATTTCGGAGAGAACAGAAACCCTAAACCCTAAACCCTAAACCCTAAACCCTAAAGAGGCTCAAAGCCTTAACCCCGTTAGGGCTTTGGGGTCTTCGGGTCTTAAGTTAGGGTACTATGGCGGGCCTGTGCTTTTGCCACAGAGGCATCCAATCGCGAGAAGAGCCCCTGATCCAAAGGGTTCAGCCCTAAACCCTAAACCCTGACACTAAACCCTAAACCCTGAACCCTAAACCCCAAACCCTAAACCTCTAAACCCTGAACCCTAAACCCCAAACCGAAGATTTCGGGTTCGAGGGATGGAGGTCGGTTCAGGGGTTTTAGCAAGGTTTGGGGCTTCAAATTCAGAGTTTAGGGTTTCGGGCTTGGGGTTTAGGGTTTCGGGCTTGGGGTTTAGGGTTTAGGGCTTGGGGTTTAGGGTTTAGAGTTTAGGGTTTAGTTAGGGTTTTGGGATTGAGGCTGAGATTTCGGTTTCATAGCTGCAGCAAAGCGGTCGACAAGAAACATGAACACGCTGCAGTTCACATTTTAAAGGGTACCGAAACAAGGAATTGTGTGTCAAAAGTACGAAGATTCCTCCTATGTAGCTAAGGCCTTTACCAGGTATGCCTTTCAACCATGCGTCGGAAACTGTAGTCAAAGCTGATTCGCATAAGCCATCGGTGAAACGTCACAGTGTTCCGCATTGGTCCCAATCACCTCCACACCCCCGCCCCCCTCTCTCTCGCTCTCTTTCTTTCTGTCTCTCTCTGTCTCTCTCTCTCTCTCTCTCACATACACACACACACACACCCACGCCATCGAACCTGGCCCTCACAACCTAAAGCCTCGATCCATGAAACCTGAAACCATGAAAGCCCTAACCCCTAAACCCTAAACCCTAAACCCTCAACCCTCAACCCTCAACCCTAAACCCTAAACCCTAAACCCTAAACCCTTAAGCCCCTTAGAGCTTAGCGCCCCTCGAAACCCCATGTACGGCCCATGCCTCGATGTCACACACTGCATCCCGGTCCTTGCGAAGGCACGGGACAGCTCTGAGTCCCAAGCACTGAAACCAAAACCTCTCTAAACCCTAAACCCTAAACCCTAAACCCTAACCCTAAACCCGAAACCCTAAACCCTAAACCCTGAACCCTAAAACCCTATATACCCTGTGGACCCGAAGCCCCTCAAACCTACACCCTCAGCCCCCTACAACAGCACAGCAAGTTGTTCCAACCGGGAAATCAACCCGGGCTAAGCCCAGATGGTTAGACCTGAGGGCTTCTTCGCCCATGCAGTATATCAAACCGGCACCAAACACGACAGAATACCCACCCAGGGGGTCTGCAGAGCGAAGGCAGGAAGCAGTTTAGGGTTTAGGGTTTAGGGTTTTAGGGTTTAGGGTTTAGGGTTAGGGTTTAGGGGCGAAAGTTCCGGATTTGGGGGATACAATACAGCCCACCATGGCTCTGAAGGGCGGTAAAGGAACCTTCGCCCAAAACTAAAACCGAAATACCCCAAACCCTGAACCCTAAACCCTAAACCCTAAACCCTAAACCCTAAACCCCAAAACCCTGAACCCGAAACCCTAATCCCGGAATGTGAATCCAGAGATAAGAATGCACTAAATCCTAAGCCCTAAGATTTACACCCTAAACCCTAAACCCTAAACCCTAAACCCTAAACCCTAAACCCACGATGCAAAGGACTCTGAGGAGCTAGCAAAGGCTTGGTCATGCCACTCTTGCAGAAGCTGTCTGGCAGCCTGCCAGGTTTAGGGTTTTGGGTTCGTTTAGGGTTTAGGGTTTAGTTCAGGAGGGTTTAGGGTTTAGGGTTTAGGGTTTAGGGCTTTAGGCGGTAAGGTTTAGGGTGGGAGGTAGCTGGACTAAACCCCCACAGTTTGGGGCTTTCGGCTGAGCGGCCTCCACCCAAAAGGCTCCTATGTAGTACCTTTTCTAGTAGTCTAGAAGAAACCCCCCTAACCCCCCCGCCTCCCGGATCCCCCCCCCCCCCCGCCAAAATTGCCAAAAGCCTCAAAGGGGTTTAGGGTTTAGGAAAGGCTGTCTTCTGGTGACGACGTGCCCTCAAGAGACAGAAGCTTGTCACGACGCGCTGCACTCTTTTGCCCTGAGCCAGGCAGCCCCAAAAAGAGCCTTCAAGCGCCAGAAGCGCTTGCACCGCGCAGCTGAGATAGGCTCCTCTTACACGATGAGACCTATGTACAACGCGAAGCTGCAAAGAACAGGATCACGTGCTTCCTTGGGAACGAAATGAACCCTAAAATTGGGGGGGCATATAGCCTATACTGCCTATACTGCTATAACTCCTATTGAGGTCTGCGGACCATAAACCTTTTTAAGGTTCATTTCCCAAGGTTTATACATGCGCCGACGCTGATTGAGCGAATTGCATTTGTCCACACGCACCAAGGAAGATGGAGGATCGAGGCAGCACGTCCTCCAAAGAACACTCAATCCGAAGCTGTATACTCCAAAGCCCTTAACCCAAGAAGTTCTCTTGACTTCCTTGGTGGCTAATGGTGCAGCTACATAAGTGCAATGGCATGCATGCAGTTGCGAGGATTCGATTCTGGTGTTAATTTGCTTTCCCAAACCCTTAATCTGAAACATCAACGCAGGTCCAATGTTGCCCGTCGTCCAGGAAAATGAGCATGCCATGCAATAAGCCGCGCGACCATCGAGTCGCTAAGCCCTAAACCCTAAACCCCAAACGTCCACCTCAACAGTACATACTTCACCATGAAGTCACGATGTAGAAACCACTTCGAGGACCAAACATGCCCTCTTGAGGTACACGGCCCCTCAGCGTGTTTAGACTCTAGACCCTCGGAATCCTGTTATCCACAAACCCTAAGCCTCTGAAACCTAAACCTTGAACCCTCTAGACCCTCTAGACCCTCTTCACCCTCTTCACCCGCTTAACCCTCTTCACCCTCTTAACCCGGGTTTAGGGCTTCGGGTTTTGGAGTTTGGCTGAGGCCGCCCTCATTGTCAAGGGCCGCGCCGCGGGGCATGTTGGCCGCTCTGGCATCACCTCCGAATTCTGGTGGTCCCCAGGCCAGAACCTCATTTTTCTTGACATTGATTTTAGGGGCTTAGGGTTTAGGGTTTAGGGCTTAGGGTTAAGGACTTGTTTTTTTGTTGTACAGGGTTTTCGTATTCAGGGTCTTGGGGGTTAGGGCTCACAGGGCTTCGGGGGACGCAGGGTTGTAGTCAGGTCTCATGTTGTTCTAGGCATATTGGGTGTAGGGTTTAGGGTTTAGGGGTATCGGTTTTTGGTGCTTGACTTTGAGGGGTTGAGGGCTTCAAATTAGGGGGCTTCGTCAACACCCTCAGGCCAGCCAAACCTCTTCTTCTACTAGGTTGAGCCATACGAGGTTGCCCAGAAACCTGAAGGAAACCCTAAACCCTAAACCCTAAACCCTAAACCCTAAACCCTAAGCCCTCTTTGCTAAAGGGTTTTGAAAAGGCTGTAAGGGAAGTACTAGGCATCCTCGTGAGCCCATAATTCCTTGATACCCAGTATCCATATTAAAATAAGGGCTCCCGTTTTGGGGTTGGCGACTGTGTAAGGGGGCCTTGAACCCAAAAAAGGGTAAGGGAGTACCAAAGGTTTAGGGTTTAGGGTTTAGGGTTTAGGGTTTAGGGTTTTGGGCTACTGGGCCACCAAGAATAAGTTGAGCCATAAGTCAAGTCCAAGAAGCAGAGCCGTCCCCGAGCAAGGCTGCGAAGGCCCTGCCAGTAGCCTCCTCATCAGGCTAATCGTGGCGCAGATCCGAAAACCCCAAACTCTGGTTTGGTAACCCTAAACCCTAAACCCTACACCCTAAACCCTAAACCCTAAGCCCTAAGCCCTAAACCCTAAACCCTGAACCCTGAACCCTGAACCCTGAACCCTAAACCCTAAACCCTAAACCAAACCCTAAACCCTAAACCCTAAAGGTCTAGGATGGCTTCGAAACCCTGAACGCCGCCCCGTGGAGCCGTGCAAAAGTCTCCTCTATGCGCCTGACGATGGGTGCGGCACCAGTTGCCCTAACTTTCATATCCTAAACCCTAAACCCTAAGCCCTAAGCCCTAAGCCCTAAGCCCTGAACCCGAAACCCTAAACCCTAAACCCTAAACCCTAAACCCTAAACCCTAAACCCTAAACCCTAAACCCTACCTAAACCCACAACGCAAGGACCACAGCTGTTTCATGGGTTCCCCTACGACCCCCCTCTATCCTACCCCCCACCCTTTAGGGTTAATTAAGCCTAAACCCTAAACCCTAGACCCTAAACCCTAAACCCTGAACCCTGAACCCGGAACCCTAAACCACTTATGGGGGGCAACCCATGGGCTTCCCCAAGGCAATCAAGTTTCGAGCTGCTGCACGTTCTGGAGCTGCTCTTGCACGCATCTGCTCTCACCACCGAACAAGCTGTGGCCCCAGGTCACAACAGATCCATCCTCCAGAAGGATTTAAGGTTTAGGTTTTAGGGTTTCGGGTTTCGGGTTTAGTGCTTAGGGCTTAAGGGCTTAAGGGTTTACGACGTTCCGAAGAAACCACTAACAAGCCGAAGACCTAGAAATCGAAGAAGAAAGTCAAGATCCGACTTATGCCTGTGCTGCACTCCCGTGCAGGCTGCTGATCAGAACACATCGACTAGACCAGGGTTCAGGCTTTGGGGCTTGCCAGGATTATAGCGCTTGCAGGGCATACAGGGCTAAACCCTAAACCCTAAACCCTAAACCCTAAACCCTAAACAAGGCTTCTAGGGTTTATCGGGATCTGGAGTGTTAGGATTCTTTGCCATAAGCCCCGTCCTCTCGGATGGCAGCAAAGGCACCATCCGAAGCCCGGATCTGTTGAACGCTCCTCTACACTCCCCCTAGAACCTTCATAAAAATAATATTTCTCCTCTTGGGTTTCATATAAACAAAAAACAATATGTTTAAAATCATCTTGGCTTTTTAACAAAAATAGTATCTTTAATATCCTCTTGGGTTTTATATGAACAAAAACAATATGTTTAATGTCCTCTTGGTTTTTTTACAAAAACAGGAAAATGATTCCCAAGGGGGATATGGTCCTGAGCTGCTCCTGGACTGCCGAGCTGTCCCCTCCGTAGCTGTCGTGACCCCAAGACACCACCTCAGACTACACGAGGGCGGGAGCAGCAAGTGAATAGAGCGCGTGCCTCTGCGCGACACACGCGTGAACACTAACTCTATACAAGGAGAGCCCAAGGGCTTAAGGCTTTAGAGCTCGGTTTAGGGTTCAGGGTTTAGGGCCACAGCTTAGGGTGGTTCATGCGATACCAATACTGAGCCACGCTGCTGACCCGTCGTCTACCAAGGCAGCCATGGCAAACAGAGCTGGCTGGATCCTTGCTTCTCACCAACAAACTTACAGGTTTCAAGGGATGAAGGCCCTAAACCCTAAACCCTAAACCCTAAACCCTAAACCCTAAACCCTAAACCCTAAACCCTAAACCCTAAACCCTAGCAAAGTGTTCCCTCTTGGCCCAGCGAGAGGCTGCTTCACTCCCTGCAGTCGATGCTGTACCGCAGTGCTGTCACCACCAAACTCGGTGCTCCTCCGCCCCCCCCCCCCCCCCCCAGGCATGGCCCTTCCCCTACCCGATAGGGATTGCCCGAAGGCTCTCAAGTAGCCCTAAACCCTAAACCCTACACCCTAAACCCTAAACCCTAAATGTATAAGGGGGAGTTTGTTTAGTATGCAACCCTCGAAGAAGGTACTGCAGACAGAGGATCCTTTTTGGCAGGGCTTAGAGGGTCTTCGGGCTTCGAAAGCCCAAGCCCTGAACCCTAGTAACCCTAGATCCAAAACCACCAAACCAACCCTAAACGCTCAACCCTAAACCCCAAACCCCACATCCTAAATCCCAACATGAGACTAGAAAATCGCAAACTGCACAGACAATCCCAGCCGGGCCAAGTTTTAGAGCTTTGGAGACCAAGCTTGAAGGGCGTACAGGGTTCACCCTCTAGTTTATGAACTTTTTTTACAGGGTTTAGGGTTTAGGGTGTAGGGACTTAGACCTGTAAGGATGTACCCCCAAAGGAGGTTCCCTTAATGTTCTCCAAATATGGCCCTTATAGTTCTTTAGAGGATCCTTGAGAAGGGTCCCCCAAACCCAAGGGTACAACCTTCGCGGTCCGAGGTAAGAGTCCCATGAGGTTACGGTTTAGGGTTTAGGGATCACCCTAAACCCTAAACCCTAAACCCTAAACCCTAAACCCTAAACGGCTTTGGGGGGAGCCTTGGAGCCCTTCAAGGCCTCTACGGACCGGACCGAGAGTTTCAGGCTCAGGTTCAGGGGCGCTCCTCCACGTCACCACGAGGGTTTAGGGTTTAGGGTTTAGGGTTTAGGGTTTGGGGTTTAGGGTTTAGGGTTTAGGGTTTAGGGTTTGGGGTTTAGGGTTTGGGGTTTAGGGTTTAGGGCTACTCCTCCAAGTCACCACGGACCCATCCTGCAGAATCGCAGCGAAGGCATGCTTGGAGGCGCCTCATGGCTGGCTTAGGGTTTAGGGTTTAGGGTTTAGGGTTTAGGGTTTAGGGTTTAGGGTTTAGGGTTTAGGGTTTAGGGTTTAGGGTTTAGGGTTGAGGGTTTAGGGTTTAGGGTTGAGGGTTGAGGGTTGAGGGTTGAGGGTTCAGGGTTGAGGGTTTAAGGATTGTCCCCCTTATACGGACAGTCCTCAATGGGGGGATTATAGTACCCCGATGTTTCTCATCCCT